TTCACAAAATTTCACACAACATTCAGACTGTTATTATCATTATCCAATCAGGTTTGTTTTTGTTTTTTTCTCAAACTAAAATGGAATAATGAAGGAGGCAGCTTAGATTGCCCTGAGTGCATTAGTACTGTCAAGATCTCTAACCGTTTTGTTTCATGTCTCCTGGCCTGTGATCTAAAAGGTTTTGGTAAACCCCCCCCTCCCTGTCCTGGACCCATCTGCTCTACCAGCTCTTTTCTGCACATCAGTCAACGCCTTTTACAGCTGCTGTCCATGATATCCTGTATATATATTTCTATTCTTGAATAGAACTAGACTACAACACCTATTTCACCATGAGGATGAACTCATCTTAATGCTGTGTTTATACCTCATGCACTCGTTTTGTCGAAAGACACATTCTTTTTTGCTGATCTTAAAGCAAACATTGCTTTCTCTAAAAATAGTGCTTTCTGTGTTTATTCTGGTTAAAACTCCTGGCTTAAACCTTTTAGGCAACCTACAGTGTTTTCTTAGCAAATGGCTGCAATATAACAAAGAGTGAAAAATTTAAGGGGGTCTGAATACTTTCCGTACCCACTGTATATATGTATATTATAAGGAGAATTTGATCAGGCCACATGACACTCCTTGGTGTATTCTTGATTTAATGGTTATTAATTGATTGACAAATTAATTAGATTTAAAGCAACAAGCTTCCGTTCTACAGAAAATGATATCATCTCAAGAATTAATGAAGTCACAACACAAAACCAGAGAACAATTTTTATCAAGATGACACCCGCTCACCAAATGTAGCACTTCGGAAGCTAAAACTGGGATTGCCTCTCGACAACGTCTTCCTTTACATTCCGTATTTCATTCGTATCATTTTGACTTTGACTAAATATGTTATAACAAGGCTTTTGCAACCATGTTTAAATGTATTTTCGTCTTTTTTTTAGTGTCCGTGTATAAGTAAAGCTTTGGGAATGTACATATTCAATCACTGAAAAACTGAATTCCATTATGACAAAATGTCACATTTGCTGTTACGTTTCTATACGCCATCTCTTCAAATTAGTTATGTTCTTTTCTGGCTCTTACTATTCTGTTTTTTTTCAGGACTGTGTGTAAAGAAAAGGGCACTAATTGATTTTTAAACGGCCATCCTTTCTACCCATAAATAAACCCTTCTCTGTCTCCTTCGATGTATTCTCTCATTTTGTTCTATAAGACCATATTACATAGTTAATCGAATCATATAATTTGTAATAATATATGTTCACACATCAACGATTTTCCATTTTATTAGTCCATGTAATTCAGCAATCCCAGATTAAGAAGGCTGTTTTTTTTTGTAATGTAGCCACGAGGTGGCAGCGCTGCAGAAACTTCATTTCATACAAAGAAACTTTGTACAAGTTAACCCTTGTAGCCAATGTGGGGGTTAATCATGATAAACGTGCACTTTTTAAATAACTTGGAATAATTAAGATGTTTTTGAAAGACGTTTCTATGCTCGCAAAGGCTCCATTTATTTTATTAAAAAAAACTGTAAAAACAGTAATACTGAAATATTATTACAATTTTAAATAATTATTTTTTTTCTATTGTTTATTTTAACTTTTTTTAAATGCAATTTATTCTGTGATGGCAAAGCTCAATTTTCAGCATCACTACTCCAGTCTTCAATGTCTGCTTAATATTTCTGTGGAAACCATGATACATTTTTTTTTCAGGATTCTTTCATGAATAGAACGTTTTTACTGCCACTTTTTTTATTATCATTAATTTAAAAGCAGCAAATCATTATATTAGAATGATTTCTGAAGAATCATGTGACACTGAAGACTGAAGAAATGTTTTCCCCCAAAAGCACTAAAAAGTTTTAATTATTCCAAACTTTTGTTTGGTAGTGTAAATTGTATTACTATTATTGTGCTAATGAGCTACAAAATCACAGAAATCTGGGTGTGCCCAGTTTATTTTAAGACCATTTTACTGAATACAACTGTGTTTTCAGGTCACTTGCCCTTGTGTGAATTGCTCTGATCAGCCTGGATTAAACATGGGGGAGGGAAAGCGTTAGCGGGCAGGTAAAGTCTACACTCTTAAAAATAAAGGTGCTTCAAAAGGTTCTTCAAGCGATGCCATAGAAGAACCATTTTTGGTTCCACAAAGAACCATTCAGTCAAAGGTTCTTTAAAGAACCATATCTTTCTTACCTTGTTATCATCTGAAGAACCTTCTTTCGCCACAAAGAACCTTTTGTGAAACAGAAAGGTTCTTCAGATGTTAAAGGTTCTTTATGGAACCATTTAGACAAAAAGGTTCTTCTATGGCATCGTGAAGCACCTTTATTTTTAAGAGTGTACCTGAATGAGCCTGTCGTGTAAACTGTGTAAGCGCTGCTTGAATGTGGATAAACGGACACCATTACTTCTTACAACTGCAAGAAGAGGCCTGTTAAAAGGATTAATATATTCGTCATTTAGATCCTACTTTTGGATACGCTAATAGTCGAGTCTAATCCGCGGTGTGCGAGTCACATGGACAAACAAGCTCAAAAATGATTTTATTTCCACTGTACTCTTTTTGATTATTTTGCTTATGTTTCCACAAATGCTTTATTTAAAGTCATTTTTGTTCACAAGGTGTAAAAAGAGGGCTTGCCCTTATCACCCATTCTCACAAACATTACAGAGAAGAATAGGGATAAGTATTCATTGAGTAACACTTGCCATTCACTTGCAAGCATATAGATTGTAAATGAGTTTGCGCATAACGCACGACTGACGCATTAGTCCGTGAAGTGGAAGCTAAATGGGATATTTCTGATGCCTACACAAACTGACACAACATATCCACCGATGTCAAAGACCACAAGGCGTTCTTTGATGCACAGACTTTAACCCTCCCTATGAAAACATGCTAAAAGGAGCAGTCAAATGGACAGACGTGAGATTACATGTGCTTTGTTAACTCTGAAACTGCAGTGGATGAGATCACAGAATGCGAGGCTGTGACATGCCATGGTTTCCACTGGTTACCATTGTTTTATGATGTTTCAGTCAACTTGACAGGATGGAAAAAGATTAAACAAGAATTGAGGATACGCACCAGACTTTTTGTCTGGACAGGAACCAACAAAACCAACTGTACACTCCTAAAAATGAAGGTTATTTATTGCCATCGATGGTTCCATGAAGAACCTTTAATATCTTTGGAGCCTTTCCATTCCACAAAAGGTTTTTTTATAGTGCAAAAAGGTTCGTTAGATTCTTAAAATGTTCTTTACACTAAGAAAAAAATGGTTATTTTAAGAACTGTTTACCTAAACATTATTTGAAAAACCTAAAATAGTTCTTCACTCTTAAAAATAAAGGTTCCAAAAAGAGGTTTTTGCAGTGATGCCTTAGAAGAACCATTTTTGGTTCCTCAAAGAATCTTTCAGTAAACAGTTCTTATAAAAAAAAAAACATTACTTTCTTAGTGTGAAGAGATGGCCATTTTAATAATCTAAAGAAACTTTGATCTAATCTTTTTCCACATATAAAAACCTTTTGTTGAATGGAAAATTTCCATGGATTTTAAAAGATCTTCGTGGAACCATCAATGCCAAAAAAAGAACCTATGGCATTCATGTTCTATGGCATTGCTGCAAAAACCTCCTTTTGGAGCCTATTTTTTAAGAGAGTATATGTAATAAAACCTGCCAATGTTTATTATGTTACATACAAGGTAGAGTTACATCTTTCCTTAGTTTGTTGACACTCGTCCAAGTTCATTTCTTGGAAAAGTTTCAGATTAAGTCTACGTTTCTGAGGATAATGGGCCCCCTGCTTGGGAGAGCGATCTGAACTTTATCAAGGCCGATGGGAGATTTATTTTATAACACTAGCAGATTCTCCCTCACACTACACCTCAGAAAGAGCCGGTGGGTATGAATCCCACGTTAAAGTTTATTTTATTTCACAGCCAAGCTGAAGTGGATACCATTCTAAACCTGTTGGGCTTGGACAGTATCAACAGTGCAAAATGTTGAAACCACTTTTGAAGCCACTTTTCTCTCCTTCTGGAGCTCTGCCCGATACTCCTTTACACACATAAATAAGACACTTTGCCTTCTGACACAATCAAACTGATAAGAATATCTGTGCTAAAGGGATCCTGCTTCACATGGGATCACCTAAAACCTCTTTATGACAGGACCTTGACTTATTCCTAAATATATATATAATTCTGGAAATATAGTGCATAGAAGGTTGGTTTGATACCACATGCCCTTTGGACATCAACAAGGTTATGTTCGAGGGCTAATGTACTGAAGTATCATTTTAGTATCTTTTTAGTTAATTAATAGTTTACACAGTCTATAAATATTCAATTTTAAAATCAGATTAGATTAAGCTTTATTGAATCTAATTGAATTGAATGTAAAATAAAAATAAAAAACTATATATTTCACAGTATTTGAGTATTTATACATGAAAATATATAGCTATCTTTAAAATTTTAGGATGGAGTCCCTCACATATCTGGAGGTCCATGGCATGTAAAAGATTGAAAAGCCCTGAACTAGAGTCTTTTAGTCCATTATAAGACACTGAGAAAACTTGTTTTGTACAGTTTTTGCATTAAAGTTACGGATAAGTTCTCCACTTCCTCTTGCATTATCAGCTTAATTACTTTTCATCAATACTTTATTGAATGTGGAAACTGTTTGAATGTGGAAATCTTTTACCCATGCTTAAACTTAAAAGTAACAACACCTCTGCAATTTTTACACCTCTGGCTGTTCTTTATTTGCCAGTTGTATTTGTTGAGATGGTTTTGCGTAGTGGTCGATATGAAAATGAATCAGTTACTAAAATACTATACTATAGACGTCACTTTTCACGTTGAAACAGGACCTCTTTCTCTCTATCCTTCTGTTGAACGGAAACGCCCTCAAAGCTGATTGGTTTACATCAAGAGGATGGGTGGGTCCCGGTCTGTTTATACTACGTCATCTTCAGCGTCAAAACGTAGACGCACGAGCCGATGCTGAAAACTCGCACACAGGCTGACAAGGTAAACACAGCTGACTCAAGGTATCGGCATCTTCACATCAGAAACCAAGAGGTAACTTTTCACTATTTCAGATTTATTATACATTGTTTTTTTTTTGCGATAACTCATAAGATCGTTTCATATTAGTCCATCTGGACTCCAAGCTGCAGCCTGGATCCATATTGCACTATACGGTAAATGATGCAATCGAACTCGTGCATGTAATCATCTTGTCAAATTAACTTAACTTACATCCACGACATTAACTATATTACATAAAACAATATTTTGAGGCATCCATTAGCCGTGCAATGATAAAATAGTATTTTTAAAAACGTACATTAGATTAGTGCACTCTTTTCTATTGTCCTCTTTTATCAACACACGGTTTTTCTGTTTAACACTAAAGTTGCTTTGACACAATCTGTATTGTATAAAGCGCTATATAACGTTATATATATATATATATATATATCAAGAAACTATAAATATACATGCATCAGTTGTGAATAAATTAATTACGGAGTAAACTGAGATTTCATCCAACGAAATAAACGTCATTATGTTTATAGACCACTGTTGCAAATATTCGTCTACTCTGTGAATTTTATTTACCTTAATTTGTTACATCTCTAATATCTCTCAATGATTTCGATCACAATTATCCGTCTCTTATTCTGTTATTTTGGAGGATTATTTATCAGTGAAATAAATCATGTGTGTCCTTGCGAGCCAGAGAGAACGAACACCGGTAATGAAATAACGTTACAATTCAAGTGTCTGTTTAAATTTCTCACATCCCTTGTTTTTGTTCCTTACATTTGATGTATCTTATATTTGAGATATTCGCACAACGTGGCGGTTTTAGGTCTAGGCGCGTTTCATTCATTGACGCAGCTTCCCGCTCATCGGACACGTTTTGGACATTATGCCCCGGAAGTTGTATCTGTTGCAACAGTTGCATCAGACCAGAACTGATTGGTGCCAGTTCAGACCGGATCTCACGCCTATCCAACATCCCTGTTTGAATATTACGTCAGAGGGGTTCCTGATTCATTCTGTGACGTTCATTGTGTTTTGTTTGTGTTGCCATATATTTTACCCCTGCTGGGAAAAAAATATCCATCTTAAGATAATTTGCAGTGTTTTGGAACATGGTAGTTGGTTTCTTGCGCGTTTAATTTGCATCAGACCAGTCGTATTCACCAACGCTGTTTTTAGTAGAGCCCAACCAGTTTAAATGTTTTTGATAACTAACATGCAGAACTGATTATTAACAGAAAACATATTATGTATAAAATCATTTATATAATCATAATGTCATTACTATATATTTGCCACTTGAGAATTAATGATTGAAAAGGTAGTATGCAAATAGATTATTTTTAATAAATTATTTAACTATAATATAATATCAATCCATTATTATTGAATAAATTAAATCAGAGCTTTATTGCTATAGGATAGGATCCTTTCCCTGTGAACACCATTGTCTCCTACTTAATGGCATTTGAGTGCTGTTCTTTAAAGAACCAACCACCATCAGTAGTCCTGATATTAAAGAATGATAAACAGTTACGTAGATAAGTGGTAAAAACATTGGTTAAACAGATTTTCAATCTCAACCTTTTCATATTTTCCAATCTCCGATTAAGGGGAAAACAGTAGTACACAGTACTGTTGGCTTGCTGCACAAGAACTTTTACATTTAGCTCTCTTTACTTGTTATTACTTGTTATGCAATTGTATTGGTTGAACAAATTTGCAATCATCAGTTAATGATTGCATCCATAATACAAACCAATTCTGGCTGATTTATTGCAGTGAATCCCTCAAGTTTGTTAAGTTTGAAGGATCTCTGGCTGGTATTTTGCACAATCTGTGGAGCCCTGTTAAGGGGGCTGTGTGATGGCATTAAGCCAGCTATCTGAGAGGTTGCCAGGTTCATTCACAGCAGTATGTGCCACCCTGAGGCCTGAATGAGTCTGTTTCATAACCATGAACACTTGAGTTCTTGAAGAATGAAGCTCTCATGCTGGTTTCTGCTTGTAATATGGCACCTGTGGCCAGTGGAACCTGTGGATCCCTAAACAGTTTTGTAGTATCTCCTTTTCTATGCCATTTTTTGATGGGTTATTCCATGTCAACTCAACCAGAGGTCCCCGGCTCAAATTTTTGATTTTGCTAATATTTTTTCTGAAGAAAGATAAACATGTATAGTGATGAAAGCCAAAATATTAAATGTCATGGATGAATATTTACTGAGTAATCTACTAGAGGGAGGTCAAAATGGTCAAAAAGGGCCTTAATGCCCTTTTAGATATTGGGACTTAACAAACTTTCCTTTTGGCATCTTCATCTTAAAGGCCCTGTATGGTTCGGTTCCAGAGATATTGGAATTGGGAATGATTGTTCCTGGCAAATCCTGTCATGAGGTGTAACTGTAATAAGACTGAATAGGCCTTTAATGTCTCTCAAGGGGTCAAACGTAATATCCTTCATGTCACAAATGGTTTAATTACAGTATGTAATCACCCAATTTCATAGTTTCAGGGGAATTGTACTTATTAAACTTTGAATAGGGGGTTTGTGGTGTTTGTTTTGAAATTTCAGAGGTTTGACTAACACATTTACTGAGTTGCAACGGAACTAAATCCGTTCTGCAGAAAAGCGAACCAAAACAAAAACAACTCCTAATGTAAACGAATGGAGTTCTCGCTCTCCTGTTAAGAAGGTTAACCGGTTGGCGGATCTTTATGTAAGCCTCTTAGAATCCATTGAGGTATTTATTTTGAGAAAAGCCCAGTGAGTCACTTCTAAACACTAACATCTCACACTCATGTATGGGTTACTCGAACCTTTAATAGACATGATGAGTGCTGTAAGAGTATAGATACTGTAGCCCATGTGTCTGTACTTCAATGTTCCTTCACGTCTAAGCCTGTGCATTCAGTGACCAACATTGTTGCTACTAGCCTGCACATCTAGTGTTCACACTTAATAAGTGGGTCAATGACATTACACTTTTTTTATCCTAACTATTAATTTATTTAAAATACATAATTCAATTATGTGAAATATAATTGTCAAATATAATTAAAAAAGTGTGTATATATATATATATATATATATACTGTATATATATATTAGTTTTATGTCAGGCTAAAGAAACAAGACACAATAAAAAAAAAAAAAAATTCCTGAAAAGAAAGCTTCATCTAGCATGATTGTATTTATTTTTTAGAAAAATTAAAAATTTTAACAAGTCTTATTAAATTTTGAAAAACTTTTATCTGTCAAATCATTGTCATAAGGTGCAACATAATAGTATTTATAAATGAAAAATTCATGAAAATCCATGTATGTATTTATTTATATATAATTAAAGATTTTTTTCACCATAACAAAAAGCGCAGAGTAGTTAAAGAAAGCAGCTATTGTATGCGTTGTGTAAGACCACAACAGTGGCTTAAAGTTCTGAGCTCTTGCCCGGACCGAGCTCGATTCAAACCGCTAAGAATCTTGCCAGTTGCTGTGCCAAGTGAAACAAACCACCTTACAGATAAAAAAGAGTCTATTTCAGCCCCTCCATTGTACAGTGAATTACAGGGATGTTTTTGTTTTCCCCCCTCCTCTGTCCTCTTTGTCAAACCTGACTTTGATCTGGGACATGGGGTTCTTTGCGTGCATTTCCACAACTTTCATGAAGCCATTTTTAGCAGTTTCATTGTTTTAGTTTTGTTGTTTTTGTGACAGGTTTTATTCACAAGTGTTAAATAATTGATCTCCGTCATGGGACAAGAAGTTGAATCGTCACGGCGGTTTGTGCGAAATGTAAGGAGATAGAATTGACACAGTGCTCCGTGTTCCAACTGTCTTCACTGTCGGTGTTTGTGTGGTTTTAATAACTGTTGCTGCAACTCAGGTTTCAGTCGTGTCCTCATTTGCGCGTGTTTCCAAATCCTTTTTGTTTGGCATCGCTGTGAACGTCACCAGTAAGAATGATGACCTGGTGAAGAACTGCATGAAACATCAACATCAGTGTACTACTGCTTGCTCAGACATAAACATGACCATGTAACCTGATGAGCTAGCAGGAGTGCTTTGGAATCAGAGCGCTCCGATAAGGAGTCAAGCGGGTCAATTAGATACTGAAAGGTTCACACAGAACAATGTGGAGCTTGTTAGTAAAGCGCAACAGTCAGTATGTTGTCATACGCAATTATAGTTGAGCTACAACAAGTAGTTTGTGGAGTCGAGGTGGAGCTGAAGTCTAAATATACCTGAGAGAATGCGTAAATGAACATTTTGATGGGGTTTTTCCCTCCAGACTTTTATGATTTCGGACTAAAGCATTGAAAATGATATTTTAATAATTTTTTTAATATGAAATCAGACCGTTAAGTCGCAGTCACATTAGCAAATTTTTGGCAAAATTTTGTTGTCACAGTGAATTCATGTGACCAACTTGAACCTGTTGCAAAATCTTCGGATTCCAATTTAAAATGACTGGATTTTTTGCATTAATTTCCTCCATAGGAATTTCAAAAATATCCTTAATAAAGAGTTCTAAGCTAAATCACAACATTACTTCATGTGATTGGGAGTTCACTGCTGAGCACTTATGTCATGGCTCTTGTTTCTGTGGCAACATGGACTTACCTAATTGGTAGAGCCAAAGCCATTTCAGGATTGTGGGTAGTGTAGTTTAAAAAACAAAAAACATTTTAATTCACCCTGCTTTATGGTTTCTATGGAAGCTTTTATCATTGCATTAAAACCTCAGATCTCATTGTAGGTCTGTCTTGTTAAGTTTATACATTACCATTCAAAAGTTTGGGGTCAGTAATTAAAAAAAAAAAAACTTTTATTCAGCAAGTCGCATTAAAGTAACAGTAAAGACAATTTATAATATTACAAAATATTTCTATTTAAAATAAATGCTGCTCTTTGAACTATCTATTTGCCACAGACTCCTGATAAAAATGTAATGTATATAAATGTAAAAATGTTAAACGGCACAAATTTTTTAGACATTGATAATAAGAAATGTTTCTGAATTTAATATAGTTTAATAAGTTTATACTTTTAATATTGTTTATAATATAAAGTTTATACTTTATTTTTTGATTAAATAAATGCAGCCTTGGTGAGCATAAGAGACTTCAAAAACATTAAAATCTTACCGACCCCAAATTTTTGAACAGTACTGTATGTTATTTTTAAAAACCAAATATCGATGGAAAAATGGATGTGAATTTTCACTGTCGCTTGATACTGTCTTTGATTGCTATTATTTTTCACTTTTGTTAATCAAATCCGATATGGTCTTGGTTGTGAACAGGACGAAGTTCCACATTCATGTCATGAAGTTTGTTGCCTGACTTTTCCTCTGGGAATAGTGCTTTACTGGATCAGTGTGTAATTGATTCCATTTTTATATCCGGCCCTAACTGACTATTTAATTAGAGGGCAGAAATCTGAAGATTTGGGACAAATCCTTGTTCCAAAGAACTCTTGTATTCTGGGAATTCTTTGTAATTCCTTCTGCAGTAAGAATCACAAAATGACGCATTCACTGAAATTTGGCAGTGAGGTGTGATGAACACTAAGTTCAGCCGGGGGGGGGATTAGATATGTCCTGACTAAACCGGTTAGTTCAATCCTTGGTGTACTGCCTTGGGCAACCGACTGTCACACCCAAATATGTCTAATTCTTCCTTCCTCTTCTTTGTGCTCTTCTAGGCGCATAAGTAACTGAGAGCTCCAAAAAACAAGCACATCCAAGAACCTCACCAGTTCTGTCACCTCATTCTGCATTAACCATGGTGGACAAAATGGCATCTTTTGGGCATGCGCTGCTGCGCCGTCGTGTGCTGGACTGCTCTGGGGAGGAAACACGGTTCGCTCGGTGTCTGTCCACTCTAGATCTGGTGGCGCTCGGCGTGGGCTCCACACTTGGCGCTGGAGTCTATGTGTTGGCTGGGGAGGTTGCGAGAGAGAAGGCAGGTCCTGCTATCATCTTATGCTTCCTTGTGGCCGCACTTTCCTCCATGCTGGCTGGACTGTGCTATGCAGAGTTCGGCGCACGAGTCCCTAAGACTGGATCTGCATACTTGTACAGCTATGTGACAGTGGGAGAAATTTGGGCCTTCATCACTGGTTGGAACCTCATCCTCTCATATGTTATAGGTAAGTGTGTCCAGTAGCAGTTAATTATCATTTTGGCGAAATCAAGTTAGTTATCACTATAACTGCAATAAAAAAGCTGGTTCTTGTTTTCAGGTACAGCTAGTGTGGGGCGAGCGTGGAGCTCTACGTTCGATAACTTGGTCGAGCAGAAGATCTCTACCTTCTTCCGGGCATCCATGGCCATGAAGGTTCCTGGGAAAGTTCTTGCAGAATATCCGGACCTGTTTGCCCTCATTCTCATCCTGCTGCTCACTGGTGAGAAATCTAAAATTAGAAATCATGATTTAAATATAGTTTTTAAACATTTACAGTTTTTTTTTCTTTAAACAAAATGTCTCTTTATTTAATAATCAGAACAACCACTTGGTAAACGCTAAAATGATAATTTTTTTCATGAAAAATGATTATTAGAGATCAACCGATATTAAAATTCTAGCTAAACCATTTTTTATAGCCGATAACCATTTAATAAAACAGATCAAGTTCTATATTATTTTGAGTAAATAAACAAAACAAAACAACAAATCAACCAGTTTAAATGTTACAAGTAAATTCAGGCATCACAACAATATTATAATTCATAATTCATTTGGATATTGGCTAAAGATTACATTTACATTGTACTTAAATGTACAAAAATTAAAGTGTTAAACATTAACTTTAAGTGAGGGTTAGATGATGAAAAAGATGACACAGATGCAAAAACGGGAAATGAGTATCCATAATTAAATATTTGATGTTGGCCGATGCAGATAAAAAAAAAGGTCACACTTTATTTTAAGGTCCAATTCTCACTATTAACAAACCATTCATGACTTTTGCCTCAATAAACTCCTCATTTACTGCTTATTAATAGTTAGTAAGGTAGTTGTTAGGTTTAGATTTTGGGTAGGATTAGGGATGTAGAATATGGTCATGCAGAATGTGTGCTTTATAAGTATGTCTAATAAACAGCCAATATGTTAATAATAGGCATGTTATTAGGCAACTAGTTAATAGTGAGAATTGGTCCCTAAACTAAAGTGTTACCCAAAAAAAAAAAAACTCTAATATCTACAAGTAAACAGTATGGTACCAATATATTGTGCATCTCTAGTTTTTATGATCAAGTAATAAATGTAAATAGTAAAAAAGTGTTACATTTAAAATTATAATTCAAAATAATAATAGTGACCGTATGAACATTTATCCCTAAGCATGAAGTTTAAATAGTGTAATCAGTACACATGTAATCTCTATACATTTGAGTGAAAAAAAAACAAAAACTGAAATTGTTATAACTGAATTATTAAATAAGAGGTTTCTGATTTTGATGTGCGATTTCCTCCTCAGGACTGCTTGCTTTTGGTGTAAGTGAGTCTGCTCTGGTGAACAAGATCTTCACTGGGATCAACCTGATAGTGCTGGGCTTTGTCATCATCTCTGGCTTTGTCAAAGGCAACACAGCCAACTGGAACCTCACATATGAGGACTTCGTCAATGATACAAATATCACCGAACCAGAGTAAGTTTGACATGAAAGAATCCTGCTCATCGTTTCAGCCACAAGCTGCTTTTGAAGTGGTGCAAATGAGGATTTCTTACAGTTGTGCAGTGGATAATGTGATTTTGTGCACAAAATGCATGCAAGAGACTTGACAAATCCATCTGCTCTCACAGATTGGTAGAAAGCACATTTGGAAGTGGAGGTTTCGCACCGTTTGGCTTTGGCGGCATCTTATCTGGCGCAGCCACCTGTTTCTACGCCTTTGTGGGCTTTGATTGCATTGCTACAACAAGTACGTCTTTTAAATGTCATAATTATAGAGCACGAATACTGATTGCTGAACATTTTGTTTTTGTTTCTTCTGAAACCATCTGCAGGGTGAGTCATAAATTAATGTGGTTCACTTTAACCTTATTTTTTCCTGTAGGTGAGGAAGCCAAGAACCCGATGCGCTCCATCCCTGTGGGCATTGTGGCCTCTCTGCTCATTTGCTTCTTTGCTTACTTTGGTGTGTCAGCTGCTCTTACGCTCATGATGCCTTACTACAAACTCAACACCCAGAGTCCCCTGCCCGAGGCCTTCAGTTACGTGGGCTGGGCACCGGCACGTTATATTGTAGCCGTTGGTTCACTCTGTGCCCTTTCGACAAGGTAACTCAAGAACTTATTTTCCTGTTATGTTTTCGTTCAACATTTTCCATTTATCTCAATCTTTGTTTTATTTTATCGTAGTTTGTTGGGCTCCATGTTCCCTATGCCTCGAGTGATCTACGCTATGGCAGAGGATGGGCTGCTCTTCCGTTCCCTCTCCAGGATGAACAAGAGAACCAAAACTCCGCTGCTGGCGACTGTTGTGTCTGGAATAGTGGCAGGTGTGAGACGTTTTTTCGTTTGTTTGTGTTCACAAATTTTTGTTCCAACTGAAATCGGAAATGCGGCAGCCAATCAGAACATACTTGTTTGTTTAGTATACAGTTATGTGGATTTTGGACCAATGAGATTTCACAGTGGGCGGAGCTACCCAGTGCAGTGCTGCAGAAATGGAAACATAATGTTTGTTTTTGTGGCTACGTTGATAAAAACGTATATTTACATGGCAGCGATAGCTTTTATCACATTGTGTCTGGCGTTTAACCTCTTAAAGGTGGGGATGTTATGTAAGATTTGATATGGTTGGATTTTCAAACTTGTCTCCTCAATAGAAAGACCTCCTTGCCGAAGATGTAGTAGCTGGGTGACTGGGTCCATACCTGGCCAGAGTCCTCTGGAAAAGCCGCTGGATCCTTGTTGGGCTGAGTATTCTGTAATGGGGCTGACGAGACGTGAGACGTGTGGATCCATCTGCAGGCTTTATTAAAGAGACGTGGTAAACAGGCAGGGTCAAACAATGGCAAACAGGTATATGGCGGGCAAAACACAAGAATAGTCCCAGGGCTAGCGTAGGTCACCGATCGGCAGACAGAATCACAGGGGCGAGACGAGAGGGAAAAATCCAGGAATACAGGCAAAGATCAGAAACCGCGGAAACAGGCAAGGCAAGGCAAAACAAGGAAAACACAGAGACTCGGAAAGGGGTACGGGCTAAACAATACTCAGCAGAGAAAGGTGGTTAGAGTGGGTGTTATATAGTGAGTGAGGTGATTAGAAACAGCTGTGTGCAATGAGTGCAATCAGTGCAGAGTGCAAATCGTGCAAAGAATGATGGGATATGTAGTCCGGGGTGCTATGCAACAGTTTGTGTTGTGCGAGAGTCAATGTAATGGAAAGGGTGACCTCTGGTGGTGAATAAACGGAAGTCCATGGACCGAATTCGTGACAATATTATTGAGCACCAATTAATCATATTGAAATTATTTCTGCTAAAAATTCACCTTTTAAATGTTTTAAAATAGAAAACGGTTATTTAAAATTGTAATCATATTTCACAGTATTACCGTTTTACTCTACAAGAGCCTTCTTTCAAAAATATACAAAAATACCCAAACATTTAAATGGTAGTGTATTCTTATTTGCATTTATTTAATTGTGATTCAGTAATAGATTTGGCTGATCCTGAATCTGTTGATTATGGACTAATTCCAATATTCTCTTGTCTTTGTAGCTGTGCTGATCACTGTGCTGTGCATGGTTTTGGCTCTGCGTCTGGAAGCCATGGTGAATCTTGAGATCGTGTGGGTGATGACGTGTGTCATTCTGGTCCTGCTGTGCATCCTGTGTGTCATTGTGATCTGTAGGCAGCCTGAGAGCAAGGAAGCTCTCACCTTCAAGGTACCAGATGTCCTCATTATTGATTTTGCCTTTTATTATGCTATAAATCTTTGCCTCAGGCTTAACCGTAAGCACTGAAGTGATGTAAAAGGAAATGTGTTATTACAACATACATACTCACAGACTTAAAGGGACAGATCACCCATAAATGAAAGTTCTGGCAGCATTTACTCGCCCTCATGCCATTCCAAACCTGAATGAATTCCTTTCTTCTGTGTAGCAATAAATATGTGGCCCTATGAAAATTTAATTTATAATATCACACGCAATGTCACCGAATTTTTCTTCAATTTTTTCATTTAACAGTAAACCTATGTCTGATTGCCAAAAATGAAGAGAATTAAAATATTTTAATTTGATTACATTTTAAAAGATTAATTAATTTGTTAATGATTTATGCCTTTATTTGATTACCACAGACAATAAATTTGTATTTGTATTTGTAAAACATAAATCTAGAAAAATTCAAACAAACAACAGAGAGATCTGGAAAAAATAAAACATGTCTATTTTCTAAGGGCCCTACTACTGTAAAAAAAAAAAAATAATCTTTTTTTTTTTTAATTGTTAAAGTTTTACAAATTCAGTTGATTAGACATGGTTTTTTATTTTTAAAATGGAATTAAATCATTAAAATGGAATCAAGAAAACATGGAATTTGGAGGAAAAAACAAAACCTATTTTATAGTGCCCTAAAAATGTCATTTTTCTTAAACTTTTAATAAATTATGGATAAATGGTAAAATTTTCATTAATGAATTAGACATGCATTTTTAATACCAAAATGTAATTTAACCATTAAAATGGAATCCAGAAATACTAAAATGGAAAAAATGGATTTCAGATGGTCTCCAGACTGTGATTCCTTCCACTTGGATGATATCAAACATTTTTGATATTTTGAGTTGATTTTAGCACGCATAGTTTTCATTTGTCATGCGTCTCCTAGCAACAAGGCACATATTTCTGCATGACTTTGTTCTGTTCAGAACGACCTATGAAGTGGTTGAGTGTATGATGCTCCGTTTTTCCTCTGTAACCATTTACAAAATCAGCAAGTCTACGATGACTAGTATTTTCAGATTTGCTCATATTTGAAAGGTCATACAGTTTCTTAATCTTCCTGTGTGCAGGTGCCTCTGTTGCCCTGGCTGCCCCTGTTCAGTATCTTTGTCAACATCTATCTCATGATGCAGCTGGACGTGGCCACCTGGTGCCGCTTCACCGTGTGGATGGGTTTCGGTGAGTACATCTGTTCATTTAGCCCCTGCCTGCGATAGCATCCTATTTGTTTCCTTCCTTCCAAACCACCCACTTCTTTTCTCATGTCCGTTCCCAGGTTTTGCAATCTACTTTGGCTACGGCATCCGGAACAGCACCGAAGGCATGAACAGCTCCCTCCGAAAATACGAGCCAGCCCTTCAGAACAAAAGCCCCATATATATAGGCGGTGAGGAGAGTGAAGTGGAGGGCATTTCTCCTTGATAGGGAGAGAACGATGGGCATGCTGCCCTATGTGTTTTCGTTGAAGTCTGCAGATTTATTGTAAAAGTCATGGCTCATTTATTGTAGACACTGCCCCAAACATCTCAGTTGCAAAAAGGATTTCTCATCCTCTTGAAATGATCAGGTTCTTCTTAAAAGAGCCCCAAGGGTTTTCCGTTAGAGGTTGTCGTGCAGCCTTGGCCCTCCAGTACTGTAAATGCTGGTTTGAAAGTCCTGCGGCTGCTGTTGTAATGGCCATATTGTCTGGCAGACAGTGAGCTGACTGTGTACATGGTATTTTATTTTCAGGATCGAGTTCCAAGCACATTGTTTGTGCGCTAAAGCCTTTGGGTCCAAAATGGTCTCCTTCCACCTCCTGGTTTCCCAGCACGAGGTTGTGAAGTACAACAGGGCCCCCTAGTGTTCAGAATTTGAAAATGGCAATACAGTTAGACAGTATTTGTGGTCATTGGTTACTGTTAGACAGGATAATTGAAGAACTGAAACTGAAAAAAAAAAAACCTGACTGACTGACTGAAAAGCTTTTAGACATGTTTAGCACTGCTAAAATCCCACGTCTTTGAGAGTGAATGGATAGAAAAACGGTTTCCATTTCCTAAGCATGACAGTGTGCTATTAGCTCTGCTGTATGTTGGGATAATGTTATTGGCCAATGTGGTATAAAATTATTTTGATGTATTTTACAGTGTGTGTGTGTGTGAGAGAGAGAGTGTTTTGAATGGATTATACAAGGTTGTGCCAGAATCTGTTCCGCTTTACAAAATATTAAATTATTTTGGGGAAAAACTGTTATATATGGACATGTATAGTTTACCCATCCAACTTCCTTAAACTTGATGATTTTACTTCAGTATACTGTATAACAGTGTTTCTAGACGACATTTATGGAAGGTTGCCTTAGTAACTTGTTTCTGCCAAAACTACTCACACTACCGTTCAAAAGTTTTTACCGTTTTTTTTTTTGGTTTGTTTTTTTTTTTAAAGAATTTAATACTCTTATTCTGGAAGTATGCCTTAAATTGAAAAATGACCGTAAAGACATGTATAATATTAGAAAAGATTTCTATTTCAAATAATTACCATCAAAGAATCTTGAAAAAATAATGAAAAATAATAAGAATAAAATTAATTTGAATATAATAAAATTATATTAAACTTACAATGTATTAAAATATTAAAAGGCTGCATTTAAAAATATATTCAAATAGAAAACGGTTATTTAGAGTTATAATTTTACTGTTTTTTTTTAACAAATAAATGTAGCCTTGATGAGCATAAGAGACTTCTATCAAAAGCAAAAATAGTAACAACTCCAAACTTCTTAACGGTGGTGTATCTACAGTAATCTGTACCAACTGGTAATGTGATAGTAACCACTGCTGACTTGAAAGATTCTGAAAGCTTCCTATATTGTTTGAAGGAAATACCCCATAATAATCTTTCATTTTTAACAGTAGAGCAGAAACTATGGTTACTGTGCTAACTTACTGTAATAACCAACTCACAGGTCAAGGGTAAAACCTAAACTTGCCTGAAGACTGAAGACCTAAAGAAACAGGTTTTGAACAGCCTTTGTTTCATATCTGAAGGTGTAGATAATTGAGAAAAAGTCACTATTTTTGACCAGATTGTTGTTATTATTTTATTTTATTTTTTTTTTAGTTTCCATTGAAACTTGTTCTTGGCAGCTTGGCTGTTGAGTTCATGTCATCTGTTTTTTGTGTTTATTGTAGAGAATTCTTAACGTAGTGGACTACTAGTTTACTGTTGCTCAATCAAACTTGTTGATTATCTTGGGCTCCCATCATACCTTTTTAATATTTTATGGTATGAATATTTAAGCCCTTCAGGGTTTTTTTTTTTCAGCTGTTTTTCAGTGTAAACTAATTGTGTTCAGATAATCGGAGAGCAACAGAGGCTTTTCTACACAATAGAATAGAGTAGAAGCTGTTTAAAACCACTATTATTTTTAAACCCAAGATATTAACGAAGGGTATTTTTGTATAGCTTTACTATTATATTACTAAAAATGGTTCTGTTTACATGTACCAGAAATGTAGAGTTTTCCGATAATGCATTGTTGTCTGATCCCAGGCATTACTAAGTCTTGATTCAGTTTGGAGACGTACGTCTCCTGTAGATCAGTGCCTGAAGTTTCAAATGTACCTCAAAGATGGTTGGTATATATCAATACATACCAAGGCATATGCCTTTGAGATACACTTGTAGTGTTACATGTGTTTATCAGTATATAAATATATATATTTTGTTTGTCTTTGGGGTTTTTAAACTGTAAATATTCATGCCATGTACAAAGAAAATGAGCTGTATTATAAAAATTCTGTTCATGTTTTTCTTTTTTTAAATAAAATGTTTCGTAAAACATCAGAGGCTGTTTGTTGTGGCTTTAAAGCAAAATATAGAAGGAAATCATTTTAGACAAAATCTTTTGTCACATTTTATTGATAGTTCGTCTCATCTCTCACACAAGATCAATCAATACACAGTTAAGTCATTTCAGTCAGCTAAATGACATTGTATTAGTCTGTAAGTCAAAAAAACGTACATCTCAGCAGCTACTAACCTCAAGTGACAGGCAACAGTTATGAAAGAGTGAACTTTATTAAGAACCAAACCAGAAAAAAAACAGGGACATGATTTAACAGTGCTTTACAAATACCTGTATTGGTAAAGTCTCTGGAAAAGTGTCTGTAGTGACATCATGACCCATGTTGAATGAGGAAAAAGGCGGGAAACTCAAATGTGGCTCCCCATAACTGAACGTTTTCAGGAATGTTTACAGATGATCTCAGAGATTTGAATGTAGTGGTTGAAAATGCATTTTATTTAGTGTGTATTGGATCATTTAACAATCGGTGTGAAACCTTGAAGGAGAAAGAGACTTCTCATATTCCCCATTTATTGGTATGACCTCTGCAGGCGAAATTAGTCATTTTCTCCTCATCAGGCGATGAGGTTTGACCATAAGGAACAGAATTTCTCCCTCTACTGTTGAATTTTTGAAATCAGAGGTCCCAGCATATAAATAATCAACATAGACTACCATTCAAAACATTGGGGTTGGTAAGATTTTTTAAATGTTTTGAACGGAGTCTATTATTTTCACCAAGGCTGCATTAATTTGATCAAAAATACAGTAAAAATGGCAATATTGTGAAATATTACTACAGTTTGAATTTTTTCTATTATAATATATTTCAAAATGTAATTCATTCCTGTAGTAGCAAAGTAGTCATTACTCCATTCTTCAGTGTCTCATGGTGCTTCAGAAATCAGCTGATTTGGTGCCCAAGAAACATTTCTTAAAATGATCAATGGTAAAAACAGTTGTGCTGCTTAATATAATTTTTTTTCCCTTTTCTTTGATGAATAGAAAGTTGAAAGAACCGCATATATTTGAACTTCTGTAATATTATTGATGTCTTTACTGTCACCTTTGATCAATTTAATGCATCCTTTCTGAATAAAACTAGGAATGTCATTCAAAAAGGAATTACAGAAAATGATTATTAATGAGCATCTTTAGTGAACACATTAGGGGCTATTTAATCCAATGGGATGTTTGGATTGGTGTGGTCCTCCTGTACATGCTCTCAAATGATCCATCATTTCTGGGTGAATTCTGGTGTAAACTTCAGATCAGTCTTTGCTCCAAAGGATCAGTGTTTCTGCATTTTTTTACTTAAACGGTTCCCACAACTCAGTTCTCTAGGTTCCATCCTGCCAGATTGACAGAGAAGACTTGCCAAAGCTCCAGGAAATTCACATTTGCTGATATTTAGGTCATTATTTCTATTGGCTTTAAAGACAATAGGAACTTTATTTGAAAGCAGGAAACATTGATGGAGGGGACTAGAGTATTTGTGGGTTGTCAAGCTAAGGGAGAACAACAGCACTGGTTTTGCAGTGAAGGAGCATTATACAGAAGTCACTTGATCAACAGAGGCAGCGGCGGTCGCTCTTGGTCACCTCCTCGGATGAATGCACCACGTTGGGCACAAAACCGCTCT